ATGGCGAACGACCCCATGCGAGTGAAGCTGGAGCAGCTTGACGCTCTTTCGGGAGAAGCCGAGAACGACCCGGCGAAGTTCGGGCGGCTTCTGAACACCACTATGAGGGCGGGGGCTGCTGCTGGCGGAGTGGCTGGGCAGGGCTTTTCGGACACCTTCCTGCAGGACCATTCGGGGTCAGGGAACTGGAAGAAAAGCAAAAAAACATGTTGCCGCCTATCTAGGACACTCAGCAGACGGAGGCCACGATCGACGCGCAAGAGGAGCAGGACCTGATGAAAGAACTCGAGTCTCAGCTCTACGGCTGCGAGATGGACATCTCCTCCCAGGACTTCAATCCCGCCAAACCCATCCTGTTTCCGATACGTGCCATATCTGTTTCCAGGACGCCCAGCCGACCCAGTACGATCTGCCACCTGCTGACTTGCAGACAGAAGGACATCCATGACTCGCGTTTTGTTGCAGCTTCAGTGTGCACATGTTCTGGTTTGTTTCGATCACAGGTACAAAGGATGGCTTTGATGCCACGTTGGAGCATCTCATGCGTGAGGTCGGGCTCGAGGAACGCGAGGATGATGCGATCACAAAATCTCCAAAGCGAGAGCTTGAAAATGATTTTGCCAGGGTCGCCAAGGAACTGGAGGATGAAACCATGTTGGCCAAGGAACATGGGGAAGCTGAGAAAGTCAGCAGAATGGCGAAGGAAAGGGAGGAAACTGAGAAAGCAAGGTTGGCCAAGGAAAAGGAAGAAGCTGAGAAAGTAAGCAAAATGATCAAGCAAATGGAGGAAGCTGAGAAAGCCAGGTTGGCCAAGGAAAGGGAGGAAGCCGAGAAAGCCATCAGAATGGCCAAGGAAATGGAGCAAGCCAAGCTGGCCAAGGAAAGGGAGGAAACTGAGAAAGCCAGGATGGCCAAGGAAATGGAGGAAGCCAAACTGGCCAAGGAAAGGGAGGAAGCTGAGAAAGCCAGGATGGCCAAGGAAAGGGAGGCAGCCGAGAAAACCATCAGAATGGCGAAGGAACTGGAGGAAGCCAAGCTGGCCAAGGAAAGGGAGGAAACTGAGAAAGCCAGGATGGCCAAGGAAATGGAGGAAGCCAAGCTGGCCAAGGAAAGGGAGGAAACTGAGAAAGCCAGGATGGCCAAGGAAATGGAGGAAGCCAAGCTGGCCAAGGAAAGGGAGGAAGCTGAGAAAGCCAGGTTGGCCAAGGAAATGGAGGAAGCCAAGCTGGCCAAGGAAAGGGAGGAAGCTGAGAAAGCCAGGATGGCCAAGGAAAGGGAGGAAGCTGAGAATGCCAGGTTGGCCAAGGAAAGGGAACAGTTCAGGCTGGCAAGATTGGCCAAGGACAAGGAGGAGGCCGAACAGATGAGATCGGCCAAGGACAAGAGCGACCGTGAGACAGTCAGGCTGGCCAAGGAAAAGGAAGACGCTGATAAAGCCAAGGTGGAGGCCGTGCGACTTGTAAGAACCAAAGAAACTTTAACCCCTAAACCATAAGTATAAACCCCATAACCTAGAACCTCAACATTAAACCCGAAGCCCTAACTCCCTAAATTTTATACAACCCTAAACCCCAAAGCCTAAATCCGCCACTGTCAGGTCGACATGGCAACACAGGCGGCAAAAAAATACCAGGCTTTGCCAATGAACGCGACAAAGTTGCAAAAGCTACAGCTCTTGCAGGACATTATGGCTACGGCTACTGGGGATGAGGGTTGCAAGCAGTTCTGCAAGGATGAGCTTGCAAAACTGATCAAGCCGAAGGCAGCAACGCCAGCTCCGGCCCCTACCAGTGATGCCGATCCTCCGGCCCCTACCACAACGGGCGCCGATCCTCCGGCCCCTACCACCAGGGGTGCCGATCCTCCGGCCGCTACCACCAGGGGTGCCGATCCTCCGGCCCCTACCACCAGGGGTGCCGTTCCTCCGGCCCCTAATGCCCCGACCTTTGATGATGTCAGTGCGAAGATGGGTTGGTCAAGTCCTGCAACCCCACGCATGGTGGAGGCACCTGGTACGCCATCTCCTGCAACGCCTGGCAGTGCAATCACAACGCCTGGCAGTGCAAAAACAACGCCTGGCAGTGCAAGCGACGCCTTGGCCCAAGGTTCGGCGCCACTCTACAGCCGAAAGAGCGCCGCCATGTTCTTGAATCGCCTGAAAGGCAACCCAAAGAGGATGCAAGCCTTGCCTGATGACTTGGCAAAGTTGGTGCGGGACGAAGATTCAAAGAGCAAAGCCATCGACTTGATCGTCGCTGCAGGAGGAGACGAAAATGAGCTGGTCGGGCAGTGGACTGCATCGTCCATTTCTGTGGCGGCGGACAAGGAAAAGGGAAAGATGAAACCTTTGACGGAACAGGAATTGATCGGCAAGTACGGAGCAGTCAATGCTGCGAAGGTGATGGAGGAAAAAAGGAAGGCTGGTTTGGAGGTTGATGATCCCAATTGTAAAGGGCTCAAGCTTTACTTGCACAACGAGTGGCAGAGGGAATGGACGAGGGGCACAGAAGAACGTTTCTTGCTTGCATTCATACATCGTGCATCCAGTTATGTTCGACTTCAACATTTATGTAGCATTCGTGCATTCATGCGAACGGAATCCGAGGAAGCAGTTTCACTGCTTCCGGAGAAGTTCGTGCGGGTGACGCTGCCAACGTTGCACAAATTCTCAGTGTGCCCCGGCGGGCGCTCACAGGGCCCGGCCAGGATGATGATGAGACTATGGACACGGAGGAGGACCCAAAGCCACTTCCGAACAAAAAAACAAGGAAATCCAGGAAAAATGAAGCCAGCGGCAAAGGGAACGACGAAGACGATCAACCTGAGCCGGAAGCACCACGAGTGGAGAAACTTACACCGCTGGACAAGGCGGCAGACTTAAGGGGGCGGGCCCTCTCGAAGGCCAACCACGCTGGCTCGATGCGGAAGCAGTTGAAAGGAGTCAGCTATGCGACTGAATGCCTCAAGGAGATGACCAACTTCGAGCAGGAGTTCCAGTGCCTTGGCTGCATTGATACCTACTAGATTGTTTTATGAGCCTCTGCCCCACAGGGCAGGCTACCCTGGTCTAGCCATATGAACAAGAAGTCTTGACAGACGCTCATGTGGCCCCAACCCAGTACTATACGGCCAAGGGCGATCTACGACCAGGTGGACAAGCTCATCTCTGAGCTGGTCCACGATGATGGGGTCTATCTTCCCATTGCTACCAGATATCTCGATATCGCGAAGCGTTATGAGAGGCCCAGCAAGGTAGCAAACAGCTTGATCCGAGCTGCGAAGGCGACTCCGAAGGATCCAACGCGCCCAAAGGATCGGCTAAAGCCAAGTCCAAGAAGCGCAAAGCCGCGGAGGGAGCCTAGAAAGAATCTTGGCATCCGGGGTCGGTGCTCAGATGGGCATGTCGTGCTGTTCACGTATATTAGAATATATTAGAATACTCCAAGGTTACTGGTAACAGATCCATCTGGATTTTGCACATCTCATTTTCTTCCAGTGTCCGACACTGATAACGTACAGTTGGTGTAGGGTCCTCGCCCAAGGGCTCGAGGACCCAAGCCAGTGTGAAAGAAATTCCGTGCTGCTTTGCACAAGATGCTCTCGACTTTCAATCCTTGGGGAATCGATCGTCGCTCTGGTGCCAAAAATTGCTTGCTGCAGATGCCCTGACGGGGTTTCACGTGATGGGGTGGAAGGAATGAAAAACATTGTTGCCAGGTACGTGCCCTTGACAGAGTCTGGTCGGCCTGCCTTTACGACACGTCGTCGTGGGATGCTGCTGGGACCGCAATATATGCAATAAGCATAAACACGCCACTGGAGCAAGGACCGCAGATGACTTTGACTCCGCTGGTGCAGCTTTACTGGCCCAGCGCATGGGTGCTGGAGACTCTTGACTTGGATGTATCCAAGCACGTCAGCTATATAGTCCGTGTGCAACACTCTTGGACCTTGCAGCCAGAACACACATTCTGAGGCGATACCTGTGGCCGAAACAAGCAGAATAGCATCTGCCTTCCGGCGAGATGGGGCATCTGGACTTGCCCTTTCACAAATGGCAAGCAGCGAACGGGAGAGGGATTTCTTCCGCTGGGTGAAGTTACCCATCCAGCCCCTGCTGGTGGATTTGCCTGTGTGGAGCAACACCAAAGAACGCAAGGACAAACAACTGATATTTGAGAAAACAGCTTTCTGTCTTCCCAGTGATGTTCTCTGCGAGCTTTGCAAAAGATCACTGGTGGAAACCTGTCTTATTGGACATTCGCACCTCGGCCCGCGCCTGATTGCTTGGTTCATTGTTGGTGCATGTATTGCTCATGGACGCACATTTCCTGCTTTGATATCTCAGGTCAGTAGATGAATGGTGGAAGCAAGAACGGGACCAGGTTTACATACGGGAGATCTCCCGGAACAATCCCAACTACCAGGACATGCTTCCATTACGCTTTCATGAGGATGGTGTACCAACAACTAAGAGCGAAACATGCAACTTCTGGTCTTGGACCACGCCTTTGGCTAGCCGCGGAAGCGAGATCTCTCGCTTCTGTCCCTCGGAAATTTTCGATTAGCAATATTCTTTTAGTTGGACAACAGAGCTAGCTGACCATATACATATATATATATGTATATGATGGACAACAACAATTAAAGGCATTGTTGGTGTCACGAACAGTCGTGTCGCGCCCGAAACGAGACGCTGCATCGCTGACATCATCGCTTGGGATCTTCGAGCACTGGAACGTGGCGTTTTTCCATCCTGCGACCACAACGACGTTCCGTGGCCAGCTGGCTCAGCGCGAGCCCAAAAGATTGGCCAAAACATTGGGATCAGAGCATGCTTCTCATATTGGGCTGGAGATATGGAAGCTCATGCAAAATCACACAATCTTCAGAGGCACTATAACAAGCCTTCGATATGCGATTGGTGTTGGGCATCGAGCCGGGACAAACAGCTGACTTCGTCAGCTCTGTGGCGCTCTACATGCAGCTACCATGAGCCGCTGCCACACCAAGAAGAACGATCTGTTTGGTGCTCAGTCAAGGGCTTCACCAAGCGCCGCCGCCTGTTTGACAGCCTCTAGGTCGCGTTAACAGCATTCCTGGATGGCTTTTTTATGGCTTTTGGTTATGTAGTGCTCGAATACTGTAAGATGCACTGCTCAACCAAGTTATGCACCTCGCCCATCTGGGTTACATCCGGGACCTTGTGGCTTCCATTCTGGTTGAGACCGTGAGATCGGGCGAGATGGCAGCTTTCTTGCGATTCGATGGCAGCCCAGATCAGCTTCTTCACAGGTGGACTGCGGAAGCCCAAAGTTTCTGCAAGGATCGTGGCCTGGATTGCTCGATGAAGCCGCTGACGTGGGAAACTTTACATGCCAACAAGAAGGCTATCTACCCTGATCTCACAAGCCGTATAAAAGCAAGTCGGACCAGAAACTTGCTGGCGTTTACCGCTTATTACTGCTGTCAACTGGAAATACTGGTGTCTGGTGACGCACCCTCAGACACGGTGCATTGGTCGAGGTGCAGGGCAACGATGGTATGGTGCTTGGATGCAGCATTGAGTGTTGGGGGAACTGGCAGTAAACCCTTTCTCAAGCCAGAGGAGATTATCGAAGCACAATGGTGTTTCGATACGTTCCTTCTGAGTTATGCTCACGCTGCTGCACGATTCCATCGAAAAGGCCTCTGCTTGTACAAACTTCGGCCGAAGATGCATTACACGCAGCATTTGGTGGATGAGCTGCCCTGCCACAAGCTCAGCTTTTACCATGCTGCGAATTTTTTGGACGAGGATCATATGAAGTTCCTCAAGATTGTTTCGGCCGGCTGCCACGTGACTTCTCAGCCTCGCACCTGGGCAAGACGTTACCTGACGAAACAAGTGTTTCTCTGGCGACGCTTGCCCGGGGCGACGGCGAAGAAGAAGCGCCGCGTCGCCGAAAAAAAAGAGGACGCCGCAGGTCTCTTAAGGGTTTTAGGGTTTAGGGTTTCCAAAGTTGGGGCATCAGGTTTGGGGGTTGAGGGTTTAGATTTCGGCTTAAGGAAGAACTTGCCACAATGCAACCAAACAACATTCCATAGTCCCGAAGCTTGCAAGTTTAGGTTCCAAGTTTGAAACCGCAAGGGCCAAGGCCTCCCCAAAAAAAGGGAGGATGCATTCACATATACACCCCTTAATACCGATATTCCCGAAACCTCTCTTGTTCCCAATCTAGTGCATGCATGGCCTCGGGTGGAGTTGCTCCCCCTTGGCCATCGGGTGGAGGTGCTCCCCCTCGCAACATCCGCTTTGATCCTAAACCCTGGCCAAAGCTTGCACAAACTCCAAATCAAAAGCCTGCAAACAAAAACCGGGTTCCACGCCTGAACTGTTCAAACCCATAACAAAGAATCCTGCATAATGCTGTCAAAAGCACCGAAAGCCAAACCGTGTTTGCAGAGGCTGAAGCCCCGAAAGCCAAGCAGTGTTTGCAGAAGCTGAAGCCCCGAAAGCCAAGCAGTGTTTGCAGAAACTGAAGCACCGAAAGCCAAGCTGTGTTTGCAGTCGCAGTGGCAGTTGTAGAATCTCGAGGAACGCTGGTTGTGATTGGGACTGATTGCTTGAAGGCTTGCACCTGTTGGTCGGTTGTGTGCTTGGCTCTGAAGGCTTGCACCTGTTGGTCGGTTGTGTGCCTGGCTTGATGCATGTGTTGGATGGTGGTTGTGTGCCTGGCTTGATCCATGTGTTGGATGGTGGTTGTGTGCCTGGCTTGATGCATGTGCTGGAGTGTTGGTCGGTCGGTTGGTTGGTTGCGACTGATTGCTTGAAGTGCCGCCCACCGTGAGTTGTAATGGCTGTTGGCGCCTCGCCACGCCGTACGTGTACATGTTTGATTGTGACAGCTAGTCAACAAAGACTCCTGCATAATATGCTGTCAAGAGCACCAAAAGCCAAACCGAGTTTGCAGAAGCTGAAGCCCCGAAAGCCAAGCAGTGTTTGCAGAAGCTGAAGCCCCGAAAGCCAAGCAGTGTTTGCAGAAGCTGAAACACCGAAAGCCCAAGTAGTGTTTGCAGAAGCTGAAGCCCCGAAAGCCCAAGCAGTGTTTGCAGAAGCTGAAGCCCCGAAAGCCCAAGCAGTGTTTGCAGAAGCTGAAGCACCGAAAGCCCAAGCAGTGTTTGCAGAAGCTGTAGTAGTAGTAGTAGTAGTAGTAGTAGTAGTAGTAGTAGTAGCAGTAGTAGTAGTAGTAGTAGTAGTAGTAGTAGTAGTAGTAGTAGTAGTAGTAGTAGTAGTAGGTGAAGGTTTGGCTGCTTTGCGCCACCCGTCCGGAGGCAGAGAACGGCCGTTGGCACCTCGCCACGCCACACAAATTCATTAACACCATGTTCGTACGGCCGTTGGCACCTCGCCACGCCACACAAATTCACTAACACCATGTTCGTACGGCCGTTGGCACCTCGCCACGCCACACAAATTCATTAACACCATGTTCGTACGGCCGTTGGCACCTCGCCACGCCACACAAATTCATTAACACCATGTTCGTACGGCCGTTGGCACCTTCACTAACCGCTGGGATCCCGAACCTTTGGATATATAACCGCTAGGATGTGAATTAACCGCTGGGATTAACCGCTGGGACAATTAACCGCTGGGATTAACCGCTGGGACAATTAACCGCTGGGATTAACCGCTGGGACTAACCGCTGGGACGATTAACCGCTGGAATTAACCGCTGGGACAATTAACCGCTGGGATCATCAAATAACCGCTGGGATGTTGAAATAACCGCTGGGATGTTGAATTAACCGCTGGGATATCAAATAACCGCTGGGATGTTCGATTAACCGCTGGGAGCCCGGGATGGCCTACATCGGTTTGTGTTTAGGTCACGTCGGTTATTAACCGATGGGGGGCTGTCCAGGGATCCATCCGAAGAAGGTTAGGGGCCGTGGAAATACGGAATGCCGCTTGAGCATGCACCTAGAGCATCATCTCCACGGAGGATGAGTGCCAGATCTGGCGCTACCACTGCGAGCATAGCACCTACTCCAGGTTCGAAGCACCTGTACCGACTCACTAGCGGTCTTAGCCGTTCCCGAACCAGTCAGCTCCCCCAAAACCTGAGCCCGTTCCTGAAGACCTCCCGGACCATACAGCTTCAACACTTCAGACAATAGCCCTACACAATGCAAGGACCGCGACGCCAAGAGTTCGTCTCGAATAACTGCCGGTGCAGCCGCTTGCAGCCTGCCATAAGCACGACTTTCAAGCGACGGAATCTCATGTGAGACAAGTCTATGCTCACCTGTGAAGTGATAGACCCTTTCTCTGTGGCAGTAGCTTGGAACCAGCGATCATACTACCCCTGGGCCTCCCACTCAACACGCTGCCGCCAAACCTGTGAAAGGTCAGACAGGTCGTAGAGAAGGGGCCTGATTTTGCCCAGCCAATCAGCAGCACGGGTAGCTGCAGGAGGCAGATCCGGATCTCCCAACGTTGGCAAAGTCCAAAAGGTCTTATCCCCAGGAGCAAAAGGATCCCGGCCAACAGAGTGGCCACTCAAATCCGTCCAATCCAATCCCTTCCAAGGATCTCCATTTCCATTTAATTCCCTCAGATGTGTACCCTCCCAGATTCCCCGATGTTCCCAGAACTCACTGGCGCGAACTGCGCTCGGCAGCAATGGGTTTCTACTGAACATACCTTTCCCAGCACCATATCCACTGACTCCAGCAGTAGATCCAGAGTTGATCCAAGCTTCGCAAACTCTTCAGCGAAACCTCTCGGCTCCCTCGGAGCTTGAAGCTGAAACCAAGGCGTGGGAGGAGGTGGCGGCACTGGAAGGTTCACCTCGCGAGCATCACGAGCGTTGTCAATACGAGGTTCCGGCGCTCCTGGAAGAATTGGGGTTCCTTGAGGTGTTCAATCGGTGAACTCGCTCGGCTAGAGAGCGTTGGTGGTTCCGGGCTTCTCTCTCGGGTATCCCTTCCTACATATTCGAACACACTACAACCCTAAAGACCCCGCACAGAAGGAGGAGACATGGCAAGCTCCCAGTTCCTTTCAATCTCCAGGGCTTGTTTAGCAGCATTGTTCCCTGCTCAAACGCCCTCTGGTACTTTAGCGAAGAGGCTTCGAAGGCACCGGGTCTAGGCACGGAATCAGGCAATGTTGTAAGTGGCTCAGAAGAAGTTAGGTTGGGCGGGATAAACCTTCCTAGTTCACCCTCACCCCAGCCCTGAACCTGCTCACCCTCTACACCTAGCCCAACAATGGCCTCAATCCCCTCTGGCATTCCGCCTGTAGCGGCGGACCTCCAAGCATCCTGAATTCCCACCTTGTCGTCTTCAAGCTTGTCCAGCCGCTGACGAAAAGCTTCATTTTCGGATGTCAGTTCGACGTTATGTTGCACCACGCTCCAAGGATCTGCTTCATCTCTCGAAGGACCTGTCTCTCTCCCAGCGTCAAACCCGGAAGGCCACTCGCAGGAGTCTCTGATCGCACTGTTTCAGACACCGTGGTTGGAACTGCACCTGTCGGCTCCGTCGCCGTCTCTTCAGGTCTCCGCAGCTCCGTTGATGG